AGGAAGAGGGATAGAGAGAGGGAGAGGGAGAGAGCGAAAGAGGGAGGGAGAGAGATAGAGAGAGGGAGAGAGCGAAAGAGGGAGGGAGAGGGAGAGCCCATGGAGGGACACATGGAGCTCAGGCGCTGCTCCTTCGGAGCAGCCAGGCGGATGATGGGATTGTTGACAGGGAGGCTCCAAATCGTTAACCCCATATTAACCCAGACAGGCTGAGGGCGTTGCCTCCTCTACGCTCCCTTCTCGCTTTCGGGCTTCGGTGAGCCCCCCCATGCAACAGACCACCAGCCTGACTGAGCTTGATCCAATAATAGGTGTATCAGCCCGTTCCGGGAAGCACCACAGAACCGCGGAGCCTGTGAAAAGTAACTGGCTGATCCCGCTTATCCCTTACATACTCGATGAGGGGAGCACCGAGGTCCGGCGGAGGAAGTGGATAACGACGGATCGGCCTCATTCTCAAACCGCTACAAAGACGCCCCGATATACATACCATCCTCATCCTTAGACTGTCCAACAGAGAGCTGCTTAAGTAACAGAGGCCCTTCTGTCGCTCTTGTAATTATATCACCCCGGCACTGTGCGTCCGGAGCACTTCTAGGTGGATTACGCAGCTCTACAGAGCGGGAACACCGACAGCTTCGCGCCAAAGTCTCTGAGATTAAAGGCTGCAGGGTCGAAGGGACTCTTAAAAATCGCTGAAGTCGGGCGAGGCTCGCGATCCACTTAATATCACATTCGGCTCATGTTCCTTTGACTGAGGCTAAAATGTCCTTTGGGCTGCGTTTCTGGGGCTGAGGCGACACTGCCCCCCCTCTCTGACAGCTCCTCCTGGGGGAGTCAGTCACAACAAAGTTGACTATCCACACCTGCGGGTCCCTCGCCTACCCCAGACTGACTTCCATGCTCACGGAGCTGCCCGCCAGTTCAAAGCTCGGCTCTCGCCTGGTCGTACCTTATTCTTCTCTGAACGAGAAAACAAACAAAGCGTGAGAGGAAATGAGACAAGTCCTGGAATAACAGAAGCATCTCCTCCGGGCCTAAGTTGTGGGAGGCGGGGCTTGGAGTGAGAGGCGGGGCTTGGAGTGGGAGGCGGGGCTTGGAATGGGATGGGGCAGAGGGAGGGGCAAAAGGAGATTATAATCAGTGAAACAGGAGGTAAAGAGGCTCCTCCACTCCTACTCAATGTCAGAGGGCTAATGTACATAACTGTGTTTATGAGTACAGATCATGGCAATGGGAACAATTAGGCTACCAAGCTCTCCGTCGATGCCAGGGTACATAAAGGTGCCAAAGAGGGAGGGACCTCCTGACATGCACACGCAGCCACACCCACGCAGCCCCACGCAGCCCCACGCATGCACACACATACGCAGACACGCATCTTAAAACGCGGCCTGTTTCCAGCCCCGCGGAGCCGACGCTGATTTACCGAGCCTCCTGGTTGAGTCGAGCCGCGAACGGGAAACGCTCGCAGAAAAAGGCTGGCCGCCACCTGCCGGCGTTGCTCGACATTCATCACCCTGATGGAGTGCTTCCTGAATGCTGTTCTCCTCGCTGTTTGTGGTTCTCGTTGTTTTTAGCTGCGAGGTAGCGGTACGCGGTACGAGCGCTAACGGATCACAGAGAGGCGCGTGTCACAGAGAAACCTCATTAATCCGTCGCCCTCGTTACTCATTAGGAGATCTTACCGTCAGCGTGGTTAATTACTGCTTTAAAATCTCCCTAAAACATCAACAAATCAACGAGCGTTACTGATAGGGAGGGAACTGATTGGCCTGTATCCTCCACTGTTTCTCTGCTGTGTTTTGACTTTGCAGTGTTGGGTTTATAATCCGGGGGGGGTCCGGGTTCTGCCAAGCAGAAAGCCCTGTTGCCTGCAAGCATCTAGAAGAGCCTGCCAGTGACACACAGACACACACACACACACACACACACATTTCTATTCACATCTTTTCTATGGGCAATGACGACCTTAACCCTACCCATCCCTAACCTTAACCATAAGTAACCAAACAAAATACAAGACTTCTGGCATTTTTACTTTTTTTGTTTGTATTCACAGATTTTTATGAAATTGAATTTCCCCAAAAAATGGTCCCCACAATGTCAAAATAATGGATTGACCCCACAATGCAATATACAGATGACCGACACACACACACACACCACTATGCACATGGCAGAATACAATTCTACTCCAGAGTGCTGTTTATAAACTATACTCTATGACAACATTCTTCTTACGATTACAAATTAAAAACTGAAATAAGAATGTCGAAACTGAAGCCATTGTTTAAAAACGTGATGCATTTTGACTTAATCGAAACCAGAGCCTCCAGAATAAGTTTATAATTATTCAAGATCGTTCGACGGACGCTCCACCAATGCGCCGTCGAAGTTTACAGGACCCTGAAATTCTTGCATCTCGCCCCCATCTTTGTGGGTTTTCTCCCCACATAGCAGCTCTCGGGTCTGCGAGAGAAACCACAAATCAAGCTGAGCAATAACTTCAGCATAAACAGATACATTTGCAGAGATATCTATCTTATTGTTGCAGATGGGCTTTGTGCGATGCCTGCTGTCCCTGACGGCACATGCAGCGTTCAGACGGAAGTCCCTCTCCCTCCAAAGAAGAGGGGTGTTGCTTAACGCCCCCCCAAAAGCTTGTCTAAGCACCCCGCAAAAGCTGCTTAAACCACAGTTTGAACACCCACCCCCCCCCTGCTGAAGTCACCTCAAGCAGGCCGCATGGGGGGCCGTCAGGGATGACCCCCGCCCCCGTCACACATATGGAGGACCCTGGGGAAGGAGGCGGTTTGCAGCCTAGGGGGGGAGAGGGTTTCTCTGCCTATGGAATCGCCGCCAGCTAGGGGGTTTGGGGGCATTCACCCACTGGGGGGGGGGGCGGCAACAAAAACACACAAGCAGGCCGGCCAAACTGTACTGTGTCAAACGCAACCCCTCCCACATGCT